GTGTGTGTGTGTGTGTGTGTGTGTGTGTGTGTGTGTGTGTGAGTGTGCGATGGCAGCTGGGTCTCTGTGTCCGTGTTCATGTGCCGTTCCCAGAGAGCGTGGGGTGGTGTCCCTTCCATGGGCTTTGTACCCGCGGGTTGTGTCCCTTGGGGACGTTGCGGCCGAGTTGTGGCGCCTGTGTGTGTCTGCCGCCGCGGCTGTGCACCCAGAGAGGGGGAGCATTGCATGTGCTGAAGGACGATTGTGTCTGCAGGTCTGGGTATCGTGTGTCCACATTTCGGCTGTGTGTCTGCGCGTCTGTCGAAGGGGAGGTTTGAGCTCTCAGGAGCCCCTTGCTGCAAAGCCCACGGAGGGGACACCGCCCCACACTCTCTGGGAACAGCACATGAACACGGACCCAGAGGCCCAGCTGAAGGCCCAGGTCTATGTCCTCCACTGGCCCCAGGATACTAAGACAGTGCAGTCCAGGTCCCTCCCCCCCAGCCCCCCCAATGCCACTAATTGAAGCCAGGTTCTTCGCTGGCTGCCCAGCCCCCTCTGGCCACCAGCCTGCCTGTGGTTGGCATGGGACTGCCCTTCTAGCACGCCCCCCACCTCCCGCCTTATGTCTAGGGGCACCCAGGCCTTAGGGGTATGTGGTAGGCAGACTGTCCTGAAGGGTCATTTCCAAGCTGCCTGCACCCGTTCTTCCCATCTACAGGGGAAACTGAGGACTCGGGGGCCCAGGGACTCGGCTGTCATGTAGACTGCTAGTCGCTGGCTGGGTGGAGGCGGGTGCCTCTCCAGGGAGGAAGATGGGGTTCAGGGCCCTCAGGGCCCCTTGTGAAGTTTTAAAGAGCCAGGAATAATTTATGTGAGCTGGGGAACCGGGGTGGGATTCCTGTATCCTTTACCCTGACCCCAAAGCTCTGAGGCCTGTGCATGTGTGTGTATGTGTGCGTGCAGTGTGGTGCATGAAAGTGTGCGGATGATCTGTGTGGTGCAGGTGACGTATGCAGGGTGTTGACTGGCATGTGTGATGCATACCTGGTGTGTTGTGTCTGCGGTGATTCTGATGTGTGTGATGTGTAGGGTATGTGCTGGTGTGTGTGCTGTGTGTACTGTGTGTTTGTGTGTGATGTGTTCTGTTGTGTGTGTGGTGGTGGCGGTGGCGGTGGGGGCTTCCAGATCCCTCGGGGACCAGAGTTGAGGCACCTCCCGTCCATGGGTCCATGAGTCCGTGGAGGAGGGTAACAAGAAGACAAGTCCTGCTGGGTGAGCCTGCTGGTGGGAGAACTCCTCAGGGCAGGGATCCAGCCGCTCCTGAATTCCATCTTTCCTCTGGGAGAGCTTCCCCGCAGCGGGCGCTTTCTGAGCTGCTTCCAGTCTGCTGCTGACGGCTCAGCGAGGCCCCTCACCCTCCCACCGCAAGTTACAGAGGGGGACCGTCTGCAGAGCTGGAACACCAGGGGCCCGCCAACTTCCTGGCTGGCACTGTGGCCTGGCCTTACTGCTGCTGCCCACGCAGGGCTTCGCTGGGAGCGTTTCACAATCGTCCTCGAAGAAACCCATCTGGCCCACCGCCGGCTCCGTGGGGAGACGGTCCAGCTGCCTCTGGATTTGAGGTGGAAGGTGGTGTGCGTGTGTGTGTGTGTGTCTGTCTGTCTGCAGGGCAAAGTTCAAAGCTATCTGAGGGATCTTTGAAGCAGCCGAGAGAGGAGGGCCGGTGGCTCCGGACATCTCAGACTCAGCTCCAATGGACAAGAGACATCACCCCCTTTCCTGAGCCAGCCTGGGCACTCTGAGTGAGTGAGTGTGTGGTGTGTGTGTGTGTATCAGGAGTGTGTACATGAGTTTGTATTGTGTGTGTGGTGAGTATGTGTGATGGTAGTGTGTATGACTTATGAGAGGTGTGTGTCCGGGTACAATGTGCAGGAGTGTGCATGGGCATGTGTACCATGTGTATGTGTGTGTGTGGTATGTCTTATGAGTGCAGTGAGTGTGTGGTCTATGTGTGTGTGTATGTGTATGGTCTATGGGAGCATGTGTGTATGTACATTATGAGGGTGTGGTGTGGTGTGGGTGCACGAGTATGTATGTGACTGTGTGTGGTGTGTGTGTATCATGAATGTAGTGTGTACGGTAGGTCTGAGTATGAGTGGTGTTTGTGTGTGTGGTGTGTGTGTATGTGTGATGAGACTGTATGATGTATGTGTGTGGTGTGTGTTTTATGAGTGTGGTGTGTATGGTCTGTATGCGTGTGTAAGGTCTGTATGAGTGTGTATTTACGAGGGTAGCATGTTTGGTGTGTCTGTGAATGTGTGTGGTGCGTGTGCTCATGAATGTAGTACGTGTGGTATGTATGGTGTTTGTGAATGTGGTGTGTATGTGTGATGAGACTGTAGTGTGTGTGTGGTGATTTGTGTGTGTGAGATAGAGGACCTAAAGGCCCCCAAAGGGCTCAGTTCCCAGCTTCTGGGGCCTAGGCCCTGGCTGGGCCAGCAGGAGGAGGGGCTCCCAGGGGCTTGCCTGGCTGTCGCCAGCCTATGGGGAGAGCGTGTGTGCTGGAACGCCGGACTCCCCATAACCGAGGCCCTGAGGGATGTATTAATCAGCAGGCTGTCTGGCCCAGACGAGGTCTGGGGGTTCAGGCTGGGAGCAGGCTGGGGTGGCGGGGTGGGGGGCTCATCTGGTTCCCATCTAGTGCAGCCGGCAGGGGGAGGGGCCAGCAGCTTCAGCTTTGTCTTTGGGCCTCTGAGAGGCCAGGGTCCCCCCAGCCTGCAGGCCCTCTCTGGGGAGGCTCTCACTCTGGGCACCTCCTAGGGGCAGAGGGAAAGCTTGGGCTGCGGGTCCCCAACCCCTAGCCCTCCCCGCCTCCACGCAGGTACCCAGAGACCCCCGGGGTGGGTTAGGGGATGGCCCTGAGGCGCCCGGAGACCCCTGGGGCAGCCGAGGGACGGCCCTGAGGCTCTCTTCTGAGGCAAGTCGCTTAGCTCCTCTGCAAGATGGAGCTATAACACCTGGAGAGGGTCCTGGACATTCTAACCCCCCTAACAAGTCTCATAAAGCCTAGCTCACGGCCAATGAGTGGCTCAAAACGCCCCTGGGGGACAGAGAAGAACTGTCCCTGGGGCTCCCGAGGTTGGGCATCGTGAGAGCGGATGGGTGCACTGCTGACCTGGTGGCCAGTAGCTCCGGCGTGTCACCCACGATGCCCCGGGATCCTTGTCTGGCACAGGTAACTGGTCAGTAGCCAGCCCACTGCTGCCATGCCCACACCCACGCGGGGCCAGCCCTTAGAGGCCCTGAGAACGGTGCCTGTGTAGTTTGGAAGTCGATCAGGGTGACCTTAGAAGACCCGTGGGCTTCTTCTGCTTTTTAGAAAACTTTACTTTCTTTCCTTTTTCTTTATTAAATCATTTTATTGGGAGCTCGTCCGGCTCTTATCCCGATCCATCCATCCATTGTATCAAGCGCACTTGTACATAGGTTGCCATCATCCTTTTCAAAGCATTTCCTTTCTACTTGAGCCCTTGGTATCAGCTCATTTCTTCCCTCCCTCCCGCATGAACCCTTGATAATTCATAAATTATTTTTATTGTCATATCTTACACCATGACCACTGTCTTCCTTCACCCCCGTTTCTGTTGTTCATCCCCCTTGGTGAGGGGGGGGGCGCAGTTATATGTAGATCATTGTGATTGGTTCTGCCTTCCTAACCTCCACCCCCTGTGGGTTTCTGAGCTGTAACTTTTTAGGGGAGTAGAAAGCCTTGTCTTTCTCTGTGGGAGCAACTTGTGGTTTCGAACTGTTGACCTCGTGGTGAGTAGCCCAGTGCATAACCCCTAAGCCACCAGGGCTCCTATTATTTTTCATTTATTTATATTTTTACTTTTTTGTTTGCTCCTATTATTTTTTCAAGTGATTTCAAAATAGTTAAACCTTTTCATTATAAGGAATTTAATTTTTGGGGTTATAATTTTTAAAAAAGAGTTAGTTCATAGTACGCATTCAGCAGGCCAGTCAAGGAACATTAATTGAGCATTTACTGTATGTCTGCCTTGTGCGTGAGGCTGTGCCCCGCCTGCTCTGACTCCTCTCCCACCCCGTGTCCCCATAGGCCCCAGAGACAACATGGAGCGCCTGGCGGCCCCCACCCTGATCTCCCTGCTGCTGCTGCTGCTTGCTGCGGCGGCCTCCGGGGCTCCCTCGGTGGGCCTGCAGGCCTCCTTCCTGGAGGATGCAGGGGGCAGCGGGGAGGCCGAGGGCTCCTCCGCCTCCTCGCCCAGCCTGCCGCCAGCCGGGATGCCGGCCTTCAGCGCCACGTCCGTGGGCCCCCCGCCCACGGTGCAGGCTGGGCCCCAGAGCCCCCCCAACTTCCTGGACGGGATCTTGGACTTCTTCCAGCATTACGTGCTGCTGGTCGCCGTGGTGGGCTCGCTGACGCTGCTGCTCGTGTGCGTCACCTGCGCGGCGCTCATCACGCGCCAGAAGCACAAGGCCTCCGCCTACTACCCCTCCTCCTTCCCCAAGAAGAAGTACGTGGACCAGAGTGACCGCGCCGGCGGGCCTCGGGCCTTCAGCGAGGTCCCCGACCGGGCTCCGGAAGGCCGGCCCGACGAGGCGCTGGTCTCTTCCCAGCAGCTGCAGGCGGACATCCTCGCGGCCACCCAGAACCTCAAGTCCCCCGTGAAGGCCACCCCCGGGGCTGGGGACGGAGCTGTTGTGGTTGAGCTAAAGGCCCAGGAGGAGGCGGAGGAGGCGGAGCAGGGGGAAGGTGGCCAGGAGGCAGACAAGGAGGCCCAGGCACCCGGTGTCCCAGCAGAGTGCCCTGATGTGCCGGGGGTGCCCTGTGCAGCAGGGGCCCAGGAGGGCCTGGCAGTTGGTGAGGGCCAGGGGGAGCCAGATGCTTTGCCTTTGTTATCCCAGGAAGCTGGGGACCCCACGGGTTCCCCTGAAAGCCCCTGTGCATAAGGCAGCATCCGCCCCAACATCCAGCCTCCTCCCTTCCCCACTGAGCTGTTAGCCCTGGCTGTTGGCGCCCAAGCAGTCCCCCTTCTTGGGCATGAAGAAGCCCCGAGTGTCCTAGACCACCCCCTGTTGGCTGTTTCCTTCCACTTCCTAAGCGTCAGAGAAATTGTTCTCTGTGGCTGTTAGGTCTCTTAGTGACCCAGTGCACAACAGAACAAAGCACTACTAGGTCTTACGCCGGCCTCACAATGGCTTGGAGCCCGTTGTTACAGCTACTCTGTCTTCTCCTTCACTGCCCCTCTGCCCTACCAAGCATGATGTCCTTCTCCATGGACCGCTCGCTCCTGATCGCATGTCCAAAGCACGGGTGGACTTCGAGCGGAGGGCTCCCCATCCTTGCCTCTAAGGAGCATTCGGGCTGTACTTCTTCCAAGACTGATTTGTTTGTCTGTTTAGCCGTCCAGGGTACTTTCGAATTTCTCCCCCACCCCAAAAGCCTCCCCCAAGCTCCAGAAACATCCGTCTCTGCGGCTCTGAGGGGCTGCATCCCCCAGCACAGCCCTTTGGACGTATGCCCTGTTGGGGCCATGACAGACAGCACTGGGAAACAAGGGCATTCCCCTCCCCACCAGGGTAGAAGAGAGAAATAGAGTACGAGGCCAAAGGGGGGTCCTCATGAGCCCAGCCCAGCGCAGCCTGAGATGACACAGGTGTGGTTTCTGTGCCCCCCACCCTCTGATACATCAGGGTCAGCGTGCCTCTGTCCTTGTCCCAAGACCCCCGCTGCCTTTGAGGTGAACCTGAACCCCCGGCCCTTCTGCCAGGAGCAGTCTCCAAACGAGTGTTTCAGAGACAGCTCCCCAGCCACACCAGCAGGACCTCTGTCGACTTGGGGTTCATGTAGTTTCTCCCCCAAACTCCTTTTGACCACGGAGGGCCTTTTGTCAGCACCCGAGGAAAACCCAAGACCCTCACTTTGACCAAGTCTGCTCCCTGTTCTCATGGACGTACCCCCACTGGCTTCTGGTTTGCCTAGGGTGTGGGGAATGTGGTGCGAGGGTGCCAGGCAACCTCTGTGCTGGGGGCAAAGTGGGGTGAATAAATTGGACCCTTCCTTTTAGGCCCCCAAAGCAGCCCTAGATGATGGGTAGCTGTGTCAAGGCCCCCATCCCCACCCCCTCCACCCTGCTCTGGGGTTACCTCCATCCCCACCCCTCCCTTTGCTCACACCTATGGCCCAGCAGCTGAGTTCATAGCAGCCAGGCCCCAGCAGGGTGCCTGGCCCCCCACCTGACTTGGGGAGACTCCGGGAGCTCCCCCAAAGCCGTCCAGAACATTCTCTCTCGACACTGCCCACGCTGCCAAGACCTGTCACCTGAGACTGCCACAATAAACCTTGTTCTGGCCTGAGTTTCACGGCTTTCCTGATGGAGGGATGGTTCTGCTGGGGGATGGGGAGGGCGTCCCCTTCCAAGGGAGGGGGGCAGACCCGTCAGCCAGGCCTGGTGCTTGAACACGCAGGTCAGGAGGAGAAAGGGGAGGACAAACAGGCACCAGGAAGGAGGGTGAGTACGTTCATCCCCAGGCCTGGGGACCACTTCTGGTTGTGATCACGCTGTGTGGCCTCGGCCAAGTGGCTCAGCCTCTCTGGGCATGCCATGCTCCCTACTTGTTGGCTGTGACCTTGGGGTAGCCACCGCCCTCTCTGTCTCCTGCCCAAGACGAGCAATGAGCCGAGCAACACCGTGCTTGGTGATGGGAAGGGGCTTCCTCCCCTGCCCTCCCTGCTGTCTCACCCCAGGGAAACCCCGTTCACCCACCCTAGGTGGGACCTTTATCTGTTTGGCTTTTGTGGGCTCACCCATCGGGCTCCTTCTTGCCTCGGATGGCCGGTTCTCGAGCGGACAGCGGACTTCGCCGTGCCCCTCCTCTCAGGGCCCTCCGAGCCGAGTGGCCAGCTGGGATCCAGATGTGGCTGGGGCTGGGGGCCTCTGAGGGGCTCTCGGGGCGTTGGGGGCAGCCCTTGCCTCTGCTGACCCACATCCATCCGGAGGAGGTGGGGGTGGGGGTTTCACACACACAATGGCCTCTGTCTGGCTCAGTGGGAAGGACTTCCTTTTTTCTGCCCACCCAGCCCAGCCGCTGCCCTGGCCACGGGCCACATCACATCTGGAGGCACTCCCTGGATGCTGTATGATGCTGGCCAGGTTGCTCAACCTCTCCGCTTATTCCTGAGCTCCCAGGAGCTTCCAGGTGGTGGAGTGTGGTTGGGATGGGTGCTAAGCATCCCTCCCCCAAACCAAATTCACTTCCATTGAGTTGATTCTGACTCACTACCCTTCAAGGGCTGGGCAGAAATGCCCCTAGGGCAGTGGTTCTCCACCTTCCTAATGCCACTATCCTTTAATGCTGCTCCTCATGCGGTGGTGACCCCCCAACCATAAAATAATTTTCGTTGCTACTTCATCACTGTCAGTTTGCTACTGTGATGAATCGGGCAACCCCTGTGAAAGGGTCGCTTGACCCCCAAAGGGGTCGAGACCCACAGGTTGAGAATCACTGCCCTAGGGGATGCTGAACTCAAACTCTGAACAGGGGCAGAGAGCCTCCTCCTTCTCCTGAGGGGCAGCTGGTGGTTTTGAATCCAGAAGGCAGACAATGACCCCTGGGAGCGGGTGGGAATGCATTACCCCTGAAGCTCCCTGACCAGTGGCTGGCTCCCTGCATATCAGGACAGACTTCTACTCTTCAGGGTTTTTAACGGCTGATTTCTTTTTTGGAAGGCGATTGCCAGGCCTTTCTTCCGAACCATCCCTGGGTGGCCTTGAACCTCCGACCTTTCAGTTAGCAGCCGAATGTCTTACAGTTCAGTTGGCCAAGACACGTGGAGTCTGTGGCCTCAGCCAGAGATTTCAACCTCCCGGACTCCATGGTTTGGGAAGCCTGGGGCCCAGTCCAGAAGTCAACCTCTCCCTACCTCTGAGCCTTGGCACCTGCTATTCCCTCTGCCTGTGACACCCTTCCCTGTACCCATCCTTTCGTTTCCAGCCGAGATGTCCACTCCTCCTGGGAGCCTCCCTTGATAACTCCAGCTTCTCCTGCCTCCTCTCTGAGTCAGCCAGCACTCCGTGATCAGACTCAACTCACTGCCATTGAGTGGATACCAGCTCACAGTGACCCTGT